CTTATTAAGACCTCTGAAATTAACTATTCATGATGTGCCATCAGCTTTACAAGTGGTCACATTTTACAGATTCTTCTAGAAGGAACAAATTAACCTCTGGGTCCTGTGTAATGTACCCTTTTGATCCAAAATTCCCAGGAAAGAAGGGGCTGCTTGAGGAAAGCATTGAATGTTAACATTTGCTTTAAATAAATAAAACTCCAAACCCAAAACCCATGAAGAAACAGCACAAAAGGAATTTATGATAGTCCCCAGCTGCTGACAGCTTTGCTTTTTTCAGTGCTTACTTGTACCACTGAGACTTCTATGTGAACAGAGCTTGAAGGGTGAGAGTAAAGGATTCAGGTTTTCACTTAATATCCAGGGTGTCATTATAAGCAGTCAGTCTTCAAAGAGGGAGGAAAAAACCAAGAATCATCCTTCAACAAGTAAACCCACCAAAACAAGGTCAATGATCTGGGGCATTTCCAAGTGTATATAGAGGAACATTGCACTTTAGAGACACGGGGTTGCAGGGACTATTCACACAGACAAACAAAAGGCTGGTAAGACAGCTAATGGCAGCCAAATTATATATATGGGCATTTCTTTTCTTTCCCCCCTGCTTTCCCTTTTCATTTAGAATTGTTTCCTTTTGTTCTGCAGGACAATGGGATGCTTGTGCCCTTTCTCACAGTCCCACTGGCCTATTCTGGGCAGCTGATATTTATCTGGGATTGTGATTGCACAGTGCTTCGTTGTCTCTTGGGCGTTTCAAAAATGCATTAAGATAAGTCATATTAAGATAAGCATATTGGGGAAAAGACTGTCTGTGAGAGATAAACCATGCTGTTTCACAGGGGTACATGGATTTGACCATATTGTCCACAAATGAACAGTACTAGTGAATTTATTACTTCAGAGAAAACATAAACATTGAGCTAAGGATGTCTGCAACTGGCATCAGTACAGAGAGGACATGACTTATATTGTTATTCCTCCAGAACTGAGATTATCTCCATACTTTCTGTTGCCTTTATGAAAATTGCTACCAGAATTCATCAATATGCTTTGGGATCACAGATGCTATCATAACAATAAAACAATTAGATTAATAAAAAGATCCCTGAACTCCCAGACAGCAAGGTGCAGAGGATTTCTCTGCTATGGAAATATTTGGGTGATGTTGACTCATAAGGGCAGCCTCCTCTACAGCGAATAATGAAGACATGAGCAGCAGGAAGTAATGTGAACCTCTGAACCACGTGTGGTTCACAGCCTGAACACCTCAGTTTCTGGTGGAACTAGGAGCCAGCTCTGTTTATTGAAGCATGATCTATGCTGTCCTTGAATTATTGCCCAGAGAAGAAATCCCACAAGACCAGACATCACCACTGAGGGTGATGCCTGGCTTCTCCAAGGCACTGACTGCTCTTTTGCTTGAGCAGAAGGCTGGAACCATTACCTGTGTGCAATGCTGGGCACACAAACACAGTGCCTTTGGATGTAGTTACACTGCACACCTGCCCAGTGTATACAATCAGACCCAGCATGTGTAAAAGGCAAAAATGATTGCCCAGGAGGATCTAAACTAGGCTGGAATCTTCTACCTGGTAATCTCCACCAGGAGATCTAAACATGCCTGACTAAAATGGACAGATGATGGGCCCCTAATCTGAACTGATTCTGATCAGGGCTCTGGAGCTGCCAAAGTGAGCCTGCTGTCTCTTTATCAGACAGAGCAATAAGGGCTTGGTAATGCAGCCCCATTAACAGCCTCCTCCACAATGAATTTTCCCTGACTGCTCCTTAAGAGCAGACACTTGGGGAATGCTGCCACAGGTCAGGCAGGCATGGGGGTATGTTATCCTCTCAGGCTCTGGTGCTCCACTCTTCTGAACTGGCAAGCCAAGTCTCAGGGGGGTCAGAAAGAGCAGAGAGAAGTAATTAAAAGTAAAAGTGTGAGCTTAGGATTTGGGTGTTTACACAGACAGGTTGCTGAGAGGCAGACCAACAACCACAAGAGTTTGCCCTGCTTGCTCTGAAGTTTTGAGTACCTTGGCAGTGATGGTGGTTGCACATGGCAAAGGGTCTGCAATGACTCATCTCACAGAAGCTGGCCCAGAGTCTGAACCTGCAGCTCCGAAGTAAGGCCTTCCTTAGAATGATCTTCTAAAACAGATTTTATCAAAGCTGTTTCTCCTTCTAAAATGGGCTTTTTCAATGCTGCTTTCTAAGAATCCATGTTTTCTGAAAAGGCTCTGCTGAGCTTTTCATGCAGAAGGCCACAGGTGAAAGCATACAGCATTCAGAATGAAGGCGCCCAAATTCAAGTAAGGGTTTAGCAAAACTAAATGCCAGTGTCAGCATGTCTCTAGCATATGAGGGCTCTTCTTTTTTTGCTTACAATGCAGCCTCTAAGTTCAAAGTACAAGAGGCATTGCTTCCTGCAAGTGGTTTGTGATAAGGGCATAAATCTATTTAGCTTAAATGACACTGCATTTCTAAACCGCTTAGTGGCAGAAGCCATTTTGTAGGAAAAGAAAAATTTTAGGGAATTGTTGCAGGATGTCCTGGAAATAGGCTCCAAAACCATATTCAGGGTCACAGTTGGGGTGCTCTTGTTACCTCAGACCAAATGCCCATGAAGGAGGCTGTTGTCGAAGCCTCCTCCTCACCTTTCTCCTCCTGTGCAAAACAGCACCAAAGCCCAGCCTTCCTGCCTCCAAGGTGATTGTATAGCACGCCTGATTTCTTCTGTTCCCTGACAACTAAACAGATGTGTCTGGATAGAGCCCAAAGCCCTTCCTCTCAAATCATGAAGGAATTTTACACCAATAGACGTGTGCTGAGAGGGAGAAGTGAGGGAATGCCCTGCCAAAGGCTTCTGATGTCTTTTCACATCAGAAAAGTCTCACTCTGCTGAGGCTGGTGCTGTTCCTCTGAGTGCTTAATGGCGTGGTCGGTGTGGGTGTGAGGGAGGTGCTGGGGACACCTCCATGGATACACTACGGGCATTTGAGACTGCCAAAGTGCCTTGTCAGAGGACCCATAACTGACCTGTAGCTGCCATGCCAAAAGCATTTCTGAAGTATCCCACAGCTGACAGGTGCACAAACAGAAGCTAATTTGCTATCAGCTTGAGCTGTCAGCAGGACTACAGACTGCTTCCAGGGATGATGCAGTCTACCCTTCCTGCAGGTGCTGTTGCTGACTTTGTCCGAGAAAGGTGATACCTGCCACAGCCAAAGGCAGGAGAAAAAGAGCTGCCAGCTCTTCCCCCATAATGTAAAGTGGAAGAAGGAGGCTGAAACTTGAGATACAGGAAAGTATTTTAAACCCAGGCCTCCAGCTCTCTGCCAGGAATGACACAGTGCATGAACGGGATCCAAAACATCATTGTTTGCACGCCACAGGGAAAATGTCAATCCTGTGCTTTAGGATTCTCCCTCCTTCTTCAGCCAGTTTCTATCAAAGGCTCAGCAACTGCAGGAACCAGTAGCCTAGAAAATGGCAGATCATTAAACCTCTGCTTGGCTTCAAAACCTCACTGCGATGAGGGAACAGAGGGATTTTGTTTAAAACACCTTTAAAATACACATTGCAATTGAAGGGGGCTGCTCATGTTGGCTCAGGTTTGTGAAGGTAATTACAGGCTTCCTCCCCTGCTTTACTGGTGAGGCTGGTACCCACCATGGTGCTGGTCAATGAGGCTAAGTGCCAAGTCAGGATAGCCACCTCCTGGCTGGAAATTCCCTCACATCTGAATATTCTACTTCTATACTCAGAGGCAACTCCAAGAACCAGATACATACAGCCCTGACTCTTCTTTGAGGAGGCAACATGATTTAGCCCTGCTATCATGAGCTGTGTGCAGCTTACAGGGCAGAGAAAAGCTAAAATTTCCAGTTATCTTACATGGCTTCTCCCTGCATCACTGATGGCTGTCTTGTGCTGGAGGAGGTGACAGCAGCTTGTCACAGGACTCATGTATACCATGGCAGCAGTGGCAGAAACAAGGATTTTCTTTCAAATGTATGTCACAGAAAGTATTGTTTCTCCTGCCAGCTTGCAGAGTATGGAGCAAGGATGATGTGTGGATCTTAGGAAAGTCAGCTGAGTAACCCCACACCTGCCATCTTCAATGGACTTAAATGGAATGCCTTCTTTTCCCTCAAGTAAATAATAACAAACTGCAAAACACACCTTTCTGCTGCTGCTGAAAACAAGTTTTCTGGAGTGTAGTAAGAATGTCTGTATTAACTTTTCCTCAAACTCAAAGAACTTAGAGGAATTCTTCTCACATGCTGCTAATTAACTGCCCTCTATCTGTTAGGAACTTGTCCTGTTCAGGTACCACATATCCTGCTTAGCCTAAAGTCTCTGTGCAACATATTGGAAAAGGGTATTTGTGTTGTCCAGTGCTTTGGCTAAGAGACAGACCCTTGTTTACCAGTGCTCATAATTAAATTAACAGATTCACCAACATGGCCAGAATTGAAAATTGACACATCCTGCCAAATCTACTGCGTATCACCAGTTTGCTGGTGTGCCTGCTGATGACCTCTTCATCACCTGTACAGTGGGTCCAAGGTGTACAGAACACATTTGAGCTGACTCGGCTTATTCACCAGCCTCTCTCCCCACCTTGTGCAATGCACATTCTCCAGGAAACAGGCATTGCACAACCCTGGCAGTGAGGCTCAGAACGTGCTAACTCCTCACACCCCGAGCAGGAGGGCAATAAACACCCAAAGCAGTCCCTACCATTAACATTGGTAGAGCTGGTAGAACTGAGCTGGGACTTCAGCTCAAACAGTGGCTCTTCAGTCTTCTGATGGCAAGAATGAAGAATGAAGACATGAGTCTCTATGACTCAGCCAGGAGCTATGACCATCTACTGTGACTCAGCCAATGGAAACATTTGTAATGTCTGTTGTTTATCGCCATGTACGTAATTGTAAGATAACTGTTGTGTTTTGGGGCATTGAAGGGGAAAGTCTGGGTATGGAGGCACTCACCATGAAATGGATGGTCCACTGGGAAACCACACAGCTGTTCTTCCTCTTCCTCATGTTTTCTTTTGCCTTCCAGACATTCACGTCCCGTGTCCTCACCCAGGAGGGACACTGGGTTGGCAGTAGGCCTTCTGCAGTGAGCTGCCTGAACTCTCCTTGCTTTGGCCATGGGTGCAGCACATGTGGTGGGAAGAAGCATTTTGACTGAAGGTAAGTCACAGTCAGACTGTCTCTGGCTGCTGGAATCTGTGAAGGACACAGCACAAGACAGCTTTGAATAAAGCAGCCACAGTTAAGTGCACCTTCCAGTTTGCGTGAAAAAAGTGGTCTGAATACTATGCCATTCAAACCTGATCATATTTTAAATGGCCCTAATCCTTCTGTGCTGTACTTCAATGCCAAGGTTACCCCATGTTGCAGACACAGGATCTCAGTGAATCTGACCCCCAAATTTTGCCTGTTCTCTGCTTCCTTCCACCTTAAAACTTTCAATGGTCCTTATGAGAGATTTTTAAAAAGGACTGTAAAAATAAGGAGACATAACCGAAAGATGGAGAAATCTCAGCTTCCCTGTCAGTATCCAAATTAGTGGCTCTCTTTCTTGAAGAACTTGGAAGTGAAGTGGATATTGAGCTGCTCTGAAAATCTGTCAACAAGATTGCCATGGAATTTGCTGGATGCCAAATGCTTTTAAAAGTCTGGTCCTTTCTTAAATGTCCCTGTAGATACACCTACACTACAGGAAAATGGGCCAATGAATAGGTTAAAAGTCAGTGTCTTCCCCAATTCAGGTCCCTCTGTCCTTTCTTCTCCATCTGGGCTGCCTGCTGCTCTGATTTAGGCATTGGACAATTCTAAAGGCAGCCTTTGCCCAGGCTGTCAACATTTCTCTCTGTGACAGATGACACTGGTGATATCTAGGAAGGTACTGACAGCCAACTCATCTCTGTGAAATCACCTGCATGCTCTTGTTGATAGGCCAAACAGGAGAAGCATGTGTTGGCCTATTTCCATGAAGTGCAGCTGTAACATTAGCTTAGATTTGAGCCTGGACATTATAAACCATCTCTAAGGTGACTTCACCTCCCTTTTCTATATTACAGCCTTGCCATAAACCCTGATGCTGAATGCTCGATGTGCTGCCTTTGGTAGTTGCAATCATGGCTCAGTTGACTCTCCAGAGACAAGACATCTGTATCTGTGCTGCTTTAATGGCAAACCTAGAATTTGCTCTAGTTCTCCCCACCACCTGGATTTCTTTGCTTGGAAAGACAGAGTAAAAGGCAACACATAAACATAACGTACCCATTAGAGAATTTAGGTTTCATGGTTTGCATGGTCTGGGAGCAAATATAACAGTAGAAATCTGTCTGCTAGTATTGCCAAAGAACATTAAAATCCTAATGTTATAATGGACTGCACCCCTGAGCAGTCTCCCACATCTAGGCTCTGGGGTTTGCTGCACCTGTGGGTGGTCCCCTCTACCTTCTCATATCTAAAAGGTAGCAGGTGTGAACCACTACAGACTGTACTGGAAGAGACTCCACTTTTTAATTTTTAATGCATTTTACTATATTATATTAATTATATCATCATATCATATCATATATATATGTCACATCTGGCATTGGCAAAACATCTAACTTTTTAGACTTGTTAGAGATTTCTTTTCTCAAACAAACAAGTTCTATTTCAAAGCAGCTTTGGAGCAATGATCATTGTAACATCTGGAGACAAAGTACCCAATTCTGATTCTGCCCTCACTAAGAGCCCACACAATAGGAATTTTATAGAGGGTTGACACTTCCATGAAGAAAATGAGGTTGTAAGAGCTCCAAACATTGGACAAAGCTTCATTTCAATAAAGAATAATTGTCCAAATGTTATCTATTTAAAATATCACCAATCTTTGAGTAACCTTCTAAACACAATTACATGTGTACAGTCATGTGGACCTTAAAAACCTGGCCCACCTCTGCGTTTGAGGCACACTGTGCAAAACAGGACTCATTTTATTCCTTTAGTATCAACTAACTTTGAGTTTTCTGGTGAGAAAACGGGTGAAGTTTTGAATAATATTTGTGGGATAAAGGAGAAGGACAGATCTGGGAATGGTTACTAGCATGAGGCAGGGGTTAAATAACAGATGATCAGAGGCTATCAGTACTGGCATAGGTTCTTAGCCCAGGATTTCTATCTCAGTCTCCCATCCCTTCAATAAGGACTAGTTGCACTCTTTTGCCAGATGTGATGCTGTGAAAATTAATATGTTACAGAAGTGATGATGCACATATCCTACAGTAATGAAAAATGTAAGGGCACCTAAGCAAGGTGCTCTAATGGGGAGTGATTAAAGCTTTCTAAGAATGACATTAGCATTTCCTAAATTATAGAAGACTTTTCATGTCTTTATTCTTCATATACAACTTTCCTCCCCAAAATCTTTCCCTGAGATGCTCACATACCGTAGTGATGAGCACAAGTTATGTGTAAGTACAGCAGTGAGCAATTACAGACTGAAATAGAAAGAACAGGGAGGAAATGGAAGACAGTCCTAGGCAGATGGGAAAATGCCAATGTCTCTGTGAACTGGTGAAAAGGAGTGGGAAGATCTCTTGTTTGAGATCAAAGAAGTATGAGCCTCAAAGATAGGCTGAATTAATCAAGGAGTTTTTCTGGAGGATAAGATTGAAGGTAGATGATACTGAGTTTATAGCACATAGAAGAGAGTTAGGAGCCCCAGTCTTGTTTGCATTGCAACCTTCTCTGGTGTTTGTTGTTCTGACCAAGTAAAGAGACTGCCTGAAGTGGTTGTTCTTTAGGCCAGATAGAATTTTTTTGGGTACACATTCTTGTGACTCCAGCAGGGAGCTCTGAAAAATAGCTATGAACTAACACAGGGCAAAACTTCCTCCAGGGAATGTAGTTTTCTTTTTTTTTTCCTCCAGGGAAGACAGTGACATTTCAGCCTAGAGCAACACGAGATACTTGATACTGTTATGAACAGAAATTACTTTGACTTGTGGCTCAAAATGGTCTTTTTGTCTTGACTTTCAGTTGCATAGGAAAGGATGGACAATTTCAGACAAGATAGTAAGGTTTTATTTTGAAAGCAGGAGGTTATTTCAGATGACCTAAGTTCCATTTAAGCCTTCTTGTGTAATCACTGGAGAGAGACAGACCTGTGGAGGCACAAGGTTTACGATTTTAGGGTCTTACTAAGGCTGTGAACAGGGAAGAGTCTATCACTGAGAAACAAAAGCATCTTTTTATTGTGTTGTTTTTCTATTTCTTCTACATATTCTTTCTTTCTTTCCTATTTTTTTGCTTTCCAGGTTTATTGGTTTTCCTTGTAATAGGTGGGGTGAATTGGTCCTATTGGCCAGATGGTATCTGTTCAGTTAGATTCCTTCAGTTTGTTTCCTCTTTAGTGATAAAGCTGGGTGGAGTGTTGCTAAAGGTGAGCAATCATAATTTGTGTGTAAAGTGGTGGTTGTATTCCTATTAATTTGCATATCCTTACCATGATGGAGCATAACACAAGCAGAATGACAAAATTACCGTATCTGTTACTGCTTTCACTATTAATTTCCCAGGTGTAACACTCTTATCCCAAGCTTTCTGTGACCTGAAAAAGGATATCCTGTTGGTGAAACCTCACTAGCAGAAACCAGGGCAGTAATGAACAATCACTTCAGATGTTCAATTTCAAGTACATTAACATCAAGTTCCCAGGAATTTCAGAACAATTTTTTTTTTTTTCTGAAACAGGCCTGTTATTCTTCTGTGTTTTAAATGACAGAGTTGGCACAAGGGAGGAGATCAGCACACACTGGGTGTTTAATTGTGTTCTTTGCAGAGGCCATGGTTACCCTTTCTAGGCACTGTAACAAAAGGCTGAGAGGAAAAATACAGACCGCATACTAAAATGTCTTCTTGTCCGTTATTTGTTTTTTGATTTGGTAAGAGTCTTCAGTGATTTCAACAGGCTTCAACAACTGCAGCTCCATGTCCTCTAGCTGTTGTGTTTGTGCAGAGAACTCCCCTATGACTAACACTGCAACTAGGAAGCCAAATGCTTCAGAGAACACTGCACGCTCCTTATTCCAAGTCCCACTGGAATTACACTCACAAAAACATATGAACTCAGGAGTCAGGCCCAGAGATCTTCCCATACATGATGAAGCCCCAGCTTTTTGTGAGATTGTGCTGGTGCTGTGCATCACAACATCCTTTTTGTCAGAGACTCAGAATAATTTGTTAGAAGCAACTTCTAGAAGTCATCTGGTCCAGCACCCATGGGTTTTCTTGGGAATCTTGGTTTGCACCCCTTATTTAGAATCATAGGTTGGAAAAGACTTTTAAAGTCATCGAGTCCAAACATTAGACCACCAAGTCCAACCATTTCTGACATTCTCCATCTTCTGCTCCCCTGGTCCTACCTATCTCCTCAGCTCATAATGTCTAGATTTAGACTTCAGGACAAGAGTGATCTTGGTACTGAGACTGTCTACATCAGATGGTAATTTCTGGCCTCAGTATTTGCCCTATAGTAGCCTATGTGATGCCATATGGATCTTCCCATCTCTCATATGAGTCATGGCTTTGCTCAGATAAATACCATATGGTGCTGTGGGGAATGTTCTTAAAATCCGTAGTAAGATATAACTAAGCCCTGACCTGTACTTACTTCCTTGCTGCTGCTGAACTGTTATGAGAAAGCAGCTGGATCTGTATCCCATCCTGGAATTTTCAGCAAGTTCCCTAGCTCATTTCAGTTCCCTGACCTTGGCCAGCACTGAGCCATACGAGATGTGGCTGATTATTTACACAATTTTTTAAATGACAATGTTATATGGTATGAAGCTGAATGACTTAGATGGAATATAGCAATTATCCCAAGATGTACAGCACAGAGTATTGCACTTCAGAAATAAATATAATTTATATGAATAAATCACAGTTCTGCTCAGAAAGCAAAGGGTAATAAACTTAGGTACCACATTCTTAGGTAAGAAACAAATAATGAAAAGGTTTTGTTTTAATTTTTTTTAAGCTTACTTGATCAATCGAAAACAAAGTACAACAACATTCTGGAAGATTTCTACAGCTTTCCTGCTTTCCCACTTCCAATAACAATTAAGTGAATCTTCACGTGTATACACCATTTTCTTTAGTTAATATTCTATATTCCCTTAAGTTTATGAATCCAGCCTTGCTTTCTAGCAGGGGAGAGAAGAGTCACTATATTCTCTTGCTACAGCTACAGTCTCTGTCTGGTGAAACAAAGGCCAAGGCAAGGCCTGGTAGTTCTGCCTGCATTGCTTTCAAGATGAAATAGTGACTGTATGCTCAGGTGGAGCAACTTGGGGTGAGGCTGCACTGGCAGGGCAGTAGTGCAGTCCCAGGAACCCACCATGTCCTGCATGCAGATTTGTCAGACCCCTGTGCTTGCAGCAGCCAAGACACACTTAGCTAAGACCACAGCGAAAATGAGCTTTGACATATGCATTGTGAAAAAAGACTTAATACAGAAAGATCCTGTCTCTGCTCCCAGAGAACACTCTCGCGTTGTTGAAATGCAGTTCTGTGGCCCATGTGGTGAACAAGCACTGACTGAATTTTCAGTGGTGTTATTTGTCTCACTTTGGATCCTGTGGCACAAAGCGACTGCCACGGCCCCTCAGGAAAGGACTTTCAGCCCACAAAACCACACTGCCATGGCTCACAGCAGCATTTCTCCCCCTTCACAACCTGGCACCTGTGCTCCTTCAGCACATGGGCCCCACTGCACCAGGAGCAGCCATGTCCTTGTCCACCCCGACAAACTACCAAGTTCTTGCTTCTTTCAGGACTGCTTCTCCAGTTCCAGCCAGCAAAAGCAGCTTAAGGAAACCTCCAAATGCTCCAGTCCTCCAATAGTGCCAGTGGCGAAACAGGCAAGCAACACTTGCCAAAGCCTTCAGCAACCTCGTTTTTATCTTTGAAACAGCTTTTTCTTTGAGCAGGAAGCTGTAACTCCAGATGACCTGGAGATGTTCCCTCCAAAACCCAGTTATCCTATGGTTCTGGGATAAACCAGCAGAACACTATCTCTCTTCCCCATACACAAGTTTCCATGGAAAGCTAGTTACCGGAACAAAGGCAGCAGCGGTATATTCAGCCCCAGTGCTGTGAGGTGAGTGGTGGGCTGACTGCCACATGGTGAGGAGACGAGTTATCCTGTGTCAGAGATGAACAAAAAGAAGTCCAAATCTTGGGCAAAGCATGACTGAGAGTCAGGGTACTTGAGTCCAACCCCAGTAACCAGTTACACTAGCGAGTAGGTTCCCTCTCCATTAGGCCTTGTTTTCTTTCCAGTCCAGGTTGGTATCCAGTTTGGACATAAAAAAAGATGAAACTATGCACATAGGCAAATAGTTTCTTGGACTAACAGACTTTTGGAAAAAGACTCTCTCCCTTACTAATGAGTGGTTCATCCAGTGTCCTGGGAAATGGGGTCCTGATCCATAAAAAAAAATCTCTCTATATTATAAAAAAATAAAAGTGTAGTATTAAGCTTTGTTGAAAGCAGTTGAGTTTGAGGTGAGTGAAAAATTTTGTGTCAAAACTACAGGTAATTTTTTGTTTAAGTGGATCTGCTTGTATACATAAAGCATCTCTTTTTCATGGAGGATGCAGATTGAAAAGATGAAAAAATACTAAATCTAGAAAATGCTGGATGTTGTACTTTCTTTAACAAAAGAAGGAGACAATTTCTCTGGGGGTAAAAGTTCACTCAAGGCCAGAGTAACTTAAACTGTGAAAACTATAGTCAAAAAGTCTAATGCACTTGCTGGTTTGCTAAGATCAAAGTCATGCAAGTTTTCTACTGGCTGTTTTTATTTCGCTCATGAAAGAACCTAGTGTCCATGAAGATAAGAAGAAATTATTAAACATGAATGCTTTCTTATTCCAGCAATTGGGCTCTAAGACTCCTATAGGTACCATTTCCCTTACAGATCATTTCTCCTGCTTGAGGGCAAGTGGTCAGATTTATCAGAAAAGGGTGCTGGTATGAGATTTGACTGTAATTTCAGACAACAGTCAACTCTTGATATAAATGAAACTCCGAAAATTTTGTTAAGTTTCAGCAGTCTTAGGCTTCCCGAGTGTGAATACCTGTCCTTCTTATGGCAGGCATTTATCTGTTTTTTTCCCCCCTCCCAGATAACAAGAGTATTGTTTTTCAAAAGGAAAGATGCTGTATTTTTTACAATAAGCACTCCTCACTGAAGAGAGCTACCTGAAATAACTTTTCAGGTTGCATACTCACCTCTCCAATGACACTGGGGCCTTACAGCGTACAGACCCCCAGTCCGATCTACCGCGAGGTTGAAAGCAAATTATTTTTAAAATATTATTTCTGTATATATAATGAATGATTTGTACCTGATAAGGGAAATCCCAAATTCCTACAAAAGTTAAAGAATCGAAATTCCACACAATTAAACCCAACAGCTGTAGAGATCAAAAAGCAAGGAGCGTTTTCATTAAGAGTTATAACTGGTACTTACCAAAGGCCACCGCTGACCCTGCTTTTAGGGACGGAGGTCTCTCGGCGTAGCTATTCCTGTTTCTGGTTTCACTGCTCAGGACACTGCTGGCAGAAGGTTTCTTTAAGATTTCCTCAATGGAGAAGGACAGGCTGGGCTTCCTCTGTCCAGCACACACCCGGGGGTCCGTCATATTCCTGCCAGGGCGGCACACAGGGTGGCACACAGGATAGCACACAGGGTGGCACACAGGATGGCACACAGGATAGCACACAGGGTGGCACACAGGATGGCACACAGGGTGGCACACAGGGTGGCACACAGGGTGGCACACAGAGCGCTGTGGCGGTGCCCTGGCTCTCGGAGCACGCCGAGGAACACCCGGCTGGCACGGTGCGTGTCTCTCCCCACCCATGCCCGCTGACCCGCGGCAGCGCTGGGAGGAGAAACAAAGCCGACCCGCAACTCAGCACACAGCCCTGCTCCTCGCTGCCGATCTCCCCGGGACCAGGACCTGCACTCCCTGAGCCTGGGGATGGCAGTGTTAGAACTACATAAACTACTACGGGGTTAAAAGTCTTCCCACCCCACCCACTGCTGAGCATTCCCCCTGCCTGTCGGGTTCACGGAGCTCTCAACGATCGTGTGGCCATTCCAGGAGGAGCTGTGCTCCTTGCAGACCCAGGAGAAAAATCCCCTGGAAGCGTTGCCTCCTGTTAGTAAATCCCGTTTGTGGGGAAGTTATCTTCCTTTTCTGCTTTCAGGCTGAAACCTGCAAAAAGTCCACTGGATTTGCACCATTATGGATTATGGTTAAGAAAATAATTGGCAGGACAAATACTTGTCCCTCGGCCGTTTACCAGCAAGAGAGACAACCTGTAAACTTCTCTTGCATACAAGGAGTTGTCACATATGAAAAGCTTCCTCACCAGCAGTTCCCAGGTTTTCTTTCAGCCATGCCTCCCTAGCCATCAGCTTTGGTTCAGATTCTCTTTTCTTCTATCGTGAAAACTCTCTGAATTTCTAAGCAGGTGCTTTTCAATATCATCCCATCTTATCAGTGACCAGAGAAAAAGAGATGGCCCTTCCAACACATGTACGGATAGGAATTAGTGTCCTCTACCCCCTACCTATACTTCTAAAGAGAAAACATTATTTTCTTTCCATCCTGAGTTATGAGGCAAAGTAGCTTGATAATCATCCCACCAGTTGCTTATGCCTCTCAATTAGGCATCCAGCACAGCGGGAGATTTCCTGGTTAATGAGGGTGAATACCTGTGATTCCTCTCCTGACTCACTTCTACCTTCTTGTTAATTTTTATTTTGGGGAAAATGTGGTTAAATACCTTCCTTACCTCTCCCTCCCCCCAGGGGCATTTCTTGCGTTCTTCTGCGATTGCCCCTCACCTTTTAAATTGCTATGGTAGTTTCTCCCTTTCCTGCTGGCTCTTCTCTGTGCCTTCCTTATCAGGCTCTTATAATTGTATTGGCAGTCCCTGCCTTATTTGTCCAGCGAACTGACAATTCTTGAGCTGATTTCCCATCATATGACCTTTTCATGGAGTTGAGACCAAAATTACTGTGTAACCAGGGGGCAATAAACCACACCTGATAAGATGAAAGGCTTTCGGCTTTTTCCAGATTCTAGATACTGGAAAAACAGTGGGGGTGATGAAGAAAAGAACAATGGAAGAGGTTCAAAATGATGCAGCCAATCATGATGAAGAATATTGAATTATCTTATTTTATGAATCAAACTTCTCCCCAGGAGATGGAATAGACCAATGAGCGTTTTTCACAGTGATGACACACGTGGGGTAGACTGGGAAGTGTTTTCCTTTGTTCCCTTTGCATCCCTCTGCAGTTTCTATAAAGGAGGATCTTGTGCCTTCCCGGTTGTGTGATGAGGTGGCAGCTGTCATGTGGGTGCAGAAGTTCTTGTGGCCCTCTCCATCAAGCAGGGAACATCTTCCCGTTTCAATCCCCTGCACTGGAGGAGGAATGCCTCTCCAGCCAAGCTTTGTCCTCTCCAGCTTTGCTGCCAGTCTGTAATCCTGGCTGTGCACAAAGAGGGAAGTATCCCCCTTCTTTGCTTAGGCAGAATGAGAGAGTGGGTAATTTATGGGCTGAGAACAGGTGAGTGTGCTGCCTGTGTGCAGAGAGAAGGGAAAGAAAGGTGCTCTGAATCCATACCCTGGATTAAAACTGCCTATTTAATAACGAGCTTTCCCTTTTTTCCTTGTGATTCCCGATTCAAAACCCATAAAAAAGCACAAGGAGAAACCTGGTACATTATTTTACAGTCACCCTACTCTGTTTGCCTGAGGCACTAAAAAGGGGACCACTCTTCTTGCTTTCTGGCTTCCTACAGAGCAATGGCTTCAAATCTTACTTCCCAGATGCCTCAAGTTGAGAGTCCTTGACCCAGACTTCACTGTATTAATTTAGTATATATTACAGTGTCTGAACTCTCTGATGTTTACTGTGCTCCCTTTTACCTGTTAGTTTCAGGCACAGGAAAAACAGATCTAGGGACATCTGTTTTTTAAGCCTCCCCTGCTGTCCATTTTTCCAAAGGATCTCTATAGGTGCCGTAGTGAATCCTATGGATTTCTCTGCTTCAATTATTAAATGAAACAAGGCCACATTTTCCTTTGCAATGGAAAACTGGTTGGTTATTAAAACCTAGGTGTTCATGAGGCTAATTTCTTGCTGCAGGGGCAGGAGGAGGAGGAAGAGGAGGATTTCGCTGGAAAGTCTGATAGGTTCCAGTACTCCTCATGTGAGGACCCATATCTTTGGGTAAAATAGCGGAGTAAATTCGCCTAGAGACTCTCAGGGCAAAAAATATGCCTCCCATCCCTCTTCCTTGCCCCAGCTCCATTTTTGCTGAGTTTAACACCCACAGTTTTGAAAGGGAAAAACTTAGCCTTCTGGCAGAAATACATGTGCATTCATGTTAAAAAATTCTTGAAGTAAAGAGAGTTGAGACAGGCAGACTACAACCTTCCATCTCAGAATAGAATAAATATTTTTATTCTATGGTCACGAGTGAATTCAGCATTACCCCATACTCAGAGTGTCTTCACTGCCTGTCTCCACTGCCACCAGCTTGTTCTGTGCAGACACCTGCTGGGATGATTCTGTAGTCCCATGTCAAAAAATCAAATTGTGCATGTTTGTATAACTAGTCTGACTCAGTCTGCAACTTTAAACCTCCCTGCTGCTTGCACTGACAAGTTGATTTTCTGTGTGTACTTAAATTAGATGCTCACATGCAAATTTACAACTTGAAAGTGTCCTTGTGAAGGCTTTATTTTTGTTCTGTCTGATTGTATTGTACTTTTTTATTAAAACTGAAGGCAATGCCAACTGAGAAATATATTTTTGTTCTTCTATATAGGAAAACAAAACAAGCACTAAAGTAGGAAATAGGATAAATAAGTGACGGCTCTTGAAAGGGGATTAGAAAGCAGCACTGTAATGATGCATAAATCCCATGTTTTGTGTACAAAAGTTTCTTTAGAACAAAAGGCAGGCTTGATATCAAAATGTTTAAGTAGTACCAAAAGACTTGAACATTTTACTATTTTTAATACAGAAATGGAAAAATAGTGTTAAATACAATTTCATTAACTAAAAAAAGAGATTAAATACTGTCTTTGGAATGACTGCTCACTCAGAATTTCTTTGCTTTGTATTATGTTAAAATAAAGATGAGTGGCAAAAAATAGACCCTTGAAATGCAAATGAACATTTTGCAAATTAAAACAGTTCAGTTGACCCTCTTTCTCAAATGATTGAGTTGCTGAAATGTAACAAATTATTTAAGTTCAAAACAAGAAATTATTTACTTTTAAATTACCGGAGAATGAAGAAGTTATTTTTCTGCCAAGTTCAAATATGCTGGCTTTTGCAGGGTAGTTTGGGGATATTTTTATATTTCTGCTTGACCTGGAAATGCAGATGACTCTCATTTGTTACAATTATTGTGCTACCCATCTAATTTAGTCTATAAATTCCTTGAGGCAGGAAACACATCTTCCTCTGGGACTGCTGAGCTCTGAAGGCAACCCGTTACAGCAGAAGGCGGCTGTCTAGAGCAAAATCATGCCATGTTGATTTTCTCAACTCAACCTCTCTGTGCCAGGCAAATCTAGAGGACCACACAACCCCTGAGGATTATAAATTAAAGAATTTCAGGAAGTGAAAAATTCTGGATGCATAGACTTAAAATCAGCTTGGCATTTATACTCTGGATTTTTTTTTTTCCCTATACTGGCTATCTCGAGGAGGAAGCATTGTGTTTACCCTGTCAGTCACGGAACAGGACCGTTCCTGTCCCACTGGTCTCTCCCACTGGATAAAGGCAGTAATGGGATGACATTCCACCCAATCCTTCTGAAGCCTCTCCTTTAAACTCCGTTCACAGATGTGAGTCAGAGTCAGAGCTGTGCAGTGTTTATGCACAGCGTGGATGCTGCAGCTCACAGCAGCTTGTCTCCAAGGGCCTGTGCTCAGTCAGCTGCTCAGAGCAAGTCAGCCAGCTCAGGCAGCCGGAGACACACCGCTGCACCCGCAGCTGCAAATTGCCCACATCACCTCTGCAGCCTCATGTCCTTGCAGCTTTGTCTTCCATCCTTTATGCCTTACTGGACTCCACCAATCTCCCCACTGACATCTGAGCTGCTCTGATCTCCTCAGAGTTCAACAGCTGGCAGTGATCTAGCGTAAAGCTCACGCAGCCTGCTTCTGGAGTCCCTTTCACCTCAGATTTATTAGCCCTGTTGTCTCTGTAGGTTTCTCAAAATGCTCATAAATTAGAAATATTAATAAAAGGGACACTGTAGATTTAAACAGATAATATTTATGATTTTTTTAATGGCACAGTTATTATCAATTGACATTTAAAAGGGCATCATAATCCATCAAGGTGAAATGGACTCAGAAAAATATTTCTCCCAAGCCAAAACCCATAACAGCAGCAGCAGGATTGCAAGAGAGGAAGGACACAAACAGTTTGATCCTGGGTCACTGATTACATAATTTAGAGGTGTTTTTCTAACAACTTCACTCGCTGTTTAATCCATTCTTGTATTTCATAATGCTTCTTCTCCACTGCCAGCCCCTCTGAGCCCTTTGTAGAGGTTTTTCTATCAAAAATCTGTAGTTAATCCATGATAGGGGGAGCAA